TGCCGACCTTTAAAATGGAGAGCCCGCCCTCTGCTCCAAGGCCCAGGCGCCCCACCACTCGCCCAGCCCCAGGTCGCCACTCTGTTCTTTTTCTCTGCACATGATATAGATCGTAACGGGGATGGGATTCTGTTGTTGCTACAGCTTGGGGTCTGCTCTTGTCACCTAACACATTTTGCCTACTAGTAAATAATTTCCACAAACATGATTTTAAGAGTGCTTACGCTCTTTCAAGTACACATACCTTAATTACACACCTGCTCTGTTAGGTACCAGGGTTAGTCCCATTTCTCCCTTCTAAAATTCTGACAAATGGATTTGTCAAAATCTTTCAGAATGTCTCATGTTCCTTGGTTTTTCCTCAGCACCTGCCGAATCACCCCCCCGAGCTGGGACAGGAGGATGCAAAGTGGACGGCACAGGCAGGGGCAGGGACCAGGGAGCCTGAGGCCAGCAAGGCCATGACCGAGGGCAGAGGTGCAGGGTCGGGTGGTTCCAAGGCATTCATGGGTAGGACACGGCAAGACAAATCAGATTCCAGAATGGTTGCTGATGCCAGGCCACTTCCAATGTCCAGCTGAAGGAAGAGGCCCAGAGCTCTGTCCCCGCAGGTGAGGCTGGCTGAACCCCGGCATGGGAGGGGGCTGAGCTGAATGTGAACTACAGAAGGGATTTGGGCAGCAAGGTCCTTCTGGTGGAATCCAGCTGCCCTGCCTCACCCAGCAGGGCCCAGGGCCACTCCTCCACCATGACAGCTTCCTGACAGATGACGGAGATACTGTGACTACCCGGTGTCTACCCGCGTCCCTGTCACACATCTAGAAGCCTGCGTGCATGTACACATACGTACTGACAAGTCCGCGCGCAGCCATCTGGGCCTGCACTGCCCGTCGGTCGTGGCCGGGCCCACCGTGTGGCTACTTGCTCACCTCCCTGCGTCTCACATGCTCACCTGCAAAATGGGGCTGTTGGCAATAACATGTCTGTCACGAGGGGCATGACTTAGTACATGGAAAGCATTTACAACATACGACCCATAGGACGTCACTGGTGTGATTATTTTTATATCCAGCACCTTTTGATCTTCTGCTGTGACTTGTCTGTGTCTCTGCCTCAGTAAAGACCACGACACACCATCCTGTCACCCGCCCACACCCTGCCTTCTGCACATAATTCCCACGGACTCTCCAGCTGTCTGCCTGCAGTAAGATGCTGCTCATGCTACAGACTGACGGTGGCCGCCAGGATGCCTGCCTCCCGGGCGCCCCTCGGACGGGCCTGGGACTGACTTCCAACAAAATTCAGCAAAGGGGATGCTGTCCCCAATGCTATGTCAAAGCGTGTAAGACTGCCGTGCCCTTGCTGGCTGAGGAGGCTCGAGGCACACAGGGGACTCCACGTGGCAGGGACTGTGGGTCCTTGCAGCCTGGTGAGGCCCCTGGCAAACCAGCCCCCCGCCCCACAGAAACATCATAACCATGTGTGCTTTAAGCCACACAACGTGCAGGAGTGTGGCTGTTCAGCAACAGGTAATGAATATATTCCGTGACTCTTCTTCAGACTGCAGGATTTCTATTTCTAAATAGAAGACTGCATCTGTTGGAGAAAGCCAACAGGCTTTCTCACAACATGCATTTAGTTTGTTGGCTGGTTCCTGTGTTCCCTTTCATTTTGGCACAGGGGCCCTGGCTTTTAGTCGCCCTTCCTGTGCTAAGCCTGAGTTCAGTGGGAGCCACGGACGCCTCACCTGTCCCTTCCCACCAGGTGGAGAGCTGACAAAATGGCTTCTTCCTTTCACGTGAAACACCCGAAGGGCACACAAGATATATACTTAAGGTTCAGGTTCAAAGAGAAAAGGAAAAAAAATCCAAAGCACCTAAGTTCCCTTGGCCATGAAGGGAAAACCAAACCCACCAGCCACAGCCGGTCCACAGGGTCCTCCATACTGGGGCCCAGAGCTGCTGGAGACAGCAAGGCCCACCGTCGGCAGCCACCAAGGAGTGCTTACGCTTCTCCTCTCTGGCTTGCTTTTACCTTAAATCTTTCCTCCAAAAGTGTCTATTGAACTACATTATGGAAAGACCATAACGCATAGCAAAACAGGCTGGAGAGGAAGGAGGAAGGAGGGCGAGAGAGGAGGTGTATCTCTGTCCCCTCCCTCTTTTCCCGCTGGAGGGACTCCTTCCATGGGATGATCACAAGGCGGCAGGGCGGCGTCTGTCCTCAGCTTGGGAGCACTGGGATGGCACTGTCACAATCTGACTTCTATGGACACGCTCATGTGAACAAAATTCACTCCCAGCAGCTGGTGGGAGCTGGACCGTCCTGTGGTCCCTGTGACAGACCTCGTAGGTTCTGGTGACAAGCGCCATAGAACCAACTGGAAAGAGGCTCATTTTTCTGGATGAGGAAAAAGTATGTGCTTTAAGGAAACAGGCTGGACAGGAGACAGGAAGTTGGAGGCCTCGAGGAGACCCAATTCCACTTCACGCTTCCGCCTCTCAGAAAGGACCCATAAGACAGCGGGAGCCCAGCACAGCGGCATGGCCCTCTCAGGATGACGAGAACTGTTCTGAAGGGTCACCCCATCCTCCGAGCAGCACAGGGTCAAGGGTCGGCTCAGTGGGGCCGCCAAGACCGTGCTGCCGGTTGACTTTCCTCTCTGCCCAACCCTGCCGCCTCCCGTGCCAGGTCTGGTCTGGGAGCACTCCCCAACAGCACCTGGTGCCAAGCACCAGCTCTGGTGCGAGTCCAACCTGCCACAGCTGGAATGCACCTGACAGGGAGCAGGAGGGCAGCAGGCCAGAGGACGCTCTGCACGATGGGGGACCGTGAAGGCTGAGTGAGCTTCGAGACCCAGGCTTCAGGGTATGTTCTAGCCGCACAGGGGCCTGAAGTGCTCAGGGAGGCCAGACCAAGAGAGGGGGACAGCCCGGGTGTACAGAGATGGCTGCTAGCATTCCACCTGCCTCAGAATACCGCGAGGCTCTCCCCACCTTCACGTGGGGCTCTGTGGATCGCTGTATCATTCACGTTTCTGTGCACAACACATAAATACACATGCTTTATGAGATTCACAGGAGCTAACTTCGCAGGAGAAAGGGCCATATTCCCAGCCTTTGGTGCCAGCAAGAAAAGGTATCCTTAACAGTGATGGTGGGATCACGATCACGTCTAAATTCTGGACCTTAAGCAGTTCTTACACAAGCTCCCAAGTTCAGAAACATGCTAAGAGGCCAATCCTGGGGAAAGGCATCAGTGAAGATGAGTGGAGGCTGGCTGTCTGCACCTGCCTCCTTCCCCGGCCGCCCTCACTCCGGCCCCGTCCGCGCGGTCTGCTCACTGCTCTGGTCCTGGTCTTTGCCATCTTGCACGACGGGGTTTTTTACTCCATGCCACTGAGCCTATCTTACAGGAGGTGTTTCTACAGCCAGAGAAGCGTGCGCTAACAGGAACACACTGGGGGGCTGTGCTAGGGCTCGGGTAGAAGGGGACAGGAGGACGCAGGCCACTTCCCTCTGACAGTCAGTGCCTTGCGCCCACTCACGTCTCCATCTCACAAGGAACCCGCTCGGCCCACGGGGCCCTGTGGCCTGGAGGGCATGTCACTGGGCAGCTGGTGTGGTGCCCATTTCCTATGGCTTCCCCAGTTTTCCTCCCAAGACCACACGTGGCACTGACCCCATGTGGTTTTTTTTCCCTTTTCTTCCCTTTTTTTAATAATAAATGTTTTATAAAAACCTGGTTCAGAAGAAAGAGACAGGATTCAAGACATCACTTTTCTTAAGGGAGAAGGCTGTTTTGAGGATCCAATCTTCCAGAAACGTCTGTCTTTACTCTAACGATTCACTCTACGTACCAGGAAGGGCTTTGAGCACCCTCCCAATTCCGGCCCGTGGAGCAGCGGGAGCGAACTGCGCTCCACCATTCCGTGCGCACACGACCTCCTTGACGCACGGTGATTCTGCCCTGGCCTGTGCCTCCCACGGCCGCGCTGCTTTACTCTATAAACTCTGGAAGCAAGTGCGGATGATGCATGTTCCAACTCTCTGTGTATAGTCCGCTGCTCTGCCCAGCACAGCACGCCCCGATTTACCTCACAGAGGATATTCCTTCCTGATTTCCCTTCAGTGGAGGAGGGCAGTGAGTCCACAAACCTGTCCTTAGTTCTCCAGGTTTTCAGTGTCGGGGGAAAGCGGTCAGGCACATATTAAAAAAAAAAATCACTAGCGGAAACAAGCCTGGCCGTGAAAATACACCGTGAGTCACATGCTGTTTTTAAGTATCTGCATTAGGGCTTCTCCCATGGACGGACACAACTCAGACCCACTTCTCCTCTGCTATCACCCCGTTTTCGTACGGCTCCAAACTGCTCGTGGTACAAAAACGAGGAAACAGGAAGGAACCGACGCCTTCTGATACGATACATGAATTACAGACAATTCACAGCAGTACCCTTGTTACCACTCTTACAGGAGCATAAGCAGCAACAGTCCCATTTGGGGGGACTATGATCAATGGTCATGAAGACCTCACCCGTGTGCGGGGTGTGCACATGTGTGTGCTTCTGTGACGTAAGCACACACGTTAGCTGGTCACGAATCCAACAGTCTTAATCAGGTGGAGAAATCTGACGTACTTCATAACCCGCCGGCAGTTTCTCCTCTCAGTACTGGTCCCTGCAGGGTTAGAAGCTCACGTACGAGCCTCTCCTGCCCCGAGTTACAGGATCGGTTACATCTGGGGGTGCTTGTCCAGCTCCATCTTCAAAGACCCTCCAAGGCACCTGCGCCCCGAAGGAGACACGTTTCCCATTTGCTGAAAGCTTTAGAGAGGACTTTACCTACTTGTTAACGCCACTTGGGTCTCCAAGTTGGTGGCAAGTCTTCCTATTTTGCTTCACGTAATTCCATTAAACTTGTCCTACCGTAGAGATGGACAGAAACCAAGCCATTTAGAGAACGTCGCATCGTTGGGTACAGCCTGGCCAGGACACTTACCACATTGCGTGCATGTAAGTGGGGGGCAGGCGTGGGCTGCTGACGGGGGTGCAGTTATAGGACCTCATGATCCTTTCTGCCAGGAGAAAATTTCGAAACAGACTAGCCACCAACAGGTCCTGTCTGAAGAGCTTTTGGAAGAGATCTGAGGGCAGATAAAACAGAAAAAGGTATCTTCAGTGACTCACATCTAGCGTTTAAAGCCAAATACACAAATTTACTTCCATCAGAATTTTTTACAAGCAGGTTGGCCTAATAGGCACTTTTCCCACTGGTGATACACACACATTCACATGCATTAAGTACAAACACCAAACCCCAGCCAGTCATTAATGAAAAAAATACAACAAGTCTCATAATAGCTGGTTTTAAGAAATCTGGTTTTAAAAAATCTGGATCGTCACGCCTATTTTTATGAAGAAAAGTGAGTCCTGAGTCCACCTAGAAAAGAATACACTAATGTCGAGTGAAAGCTCAGGTGGGGCTTAGTGTCCACACTGTTCGTGGTGCCTGACCCATGGTGACTCACGGAAACCTCTGGAGGCTCTTGCCTCCTCCTCCTCCTGCCCCCTCAGCTTTCCCCACCGACAAGACCTCCTTGCTTCCATTTCGCCTCCCTCATTCCAAGGGCCAGCATCTCCCAACTGCAAGGCAGCAGCCCTCCCCTGCCCCTGCCCGGCCCGGGCAACCTCACCCCGAGGGAGCACATTCCATGCGATGGTGTCTGTGATTGCCGTGAAGATCCAGTTCAGTTCTCCCAGAGGGGTCCTCCGGTCATTCAGCCGGCCGGGAATCCTAGGAGACACAGTGTGCTTTCATTAGTGACCATCCAGAGAGTCCCGGCTACTGCAGACGGGTGGAGAGAGGAGATGGTGGAAAGAAAAGAGGCGAGGGAGACAAAAAGCTCGGAGCAGAGGCAGGGGAGGCTTGCTGCTGGGAGAACAGCCTCACCTCTTAGAGCGCATTCTCCATCCTCACCTCCCTCCCCTCGGGTACCCCCGATGTATGGAACAGACCCTGTGGCTCCACACACCACTCTTGTGGTTTCTGCGTACAAGAGATGGGTGTGGAAGGGCCCAAAGGGCAGCCCCTGGCATCTGCTACAGAGGAACCCGGGCCAATCTTCTATTCCACATCCCGCCCGGCCCCATGGCTCCAGGCTGCGGAAGTGCACTTTCAACCGGACTGCTGTGGAAGGAGAGCTCGTCCTCTGAGGTCAACTTACCTTCCGTTCACTCATCAAATCTCTGAGCACCTACTCTAGGGCCAAGTGCTCTTCTAGCGCTGGCATGTAGTGGGTGGGGCTCACGGTCCGCTGGGGAGGACAGACAAGAAGCCGGTAACCAAGCACAGCTGGAAGGGCACAGAGACAAAGCCCACAAGACTGCGGTGGGAGGGGCGGGGTCCAGGCGGCGTGCAGCAGGCAGAGGTGAGGGGGGCCTCGCTGAGAAGGTAACACCGCAGCAAGCCGCACTCAAGGAGCTGAGGGAGTGGGCCAAGTCCACACCCAGAGGGAGACCAAGTCCGGCAGAGCCCGGAGGTGTGCTTGTGCGGGCAGCGGCCTCGGCTCTGCGTGTAACACACTTAATTAGATCTGACAGGAAACGCTTTTTTTTTTCTCCCAAAAGCAAAATGCTCACAGTAAATGGCTCAGAGACTAAAGTGTGATTCCTGCTCTTTGTAAGAGTTAACAGATGAATAATTTCCAGCATAGTAGCCCATTTCATGGCACCATCTTTGCATGAATGAGGCTCAAGCGGCCTGCCTCCCTAACAGGCACTGCTGAGCGGCGCAAGCTTCCTCATATGATGGCAACATGTGTGCTCCTTCCTTCCACCAAATGCCTTTTCCTTCAGGAATAAAAAAATTCTTCTTATTTCCTCAAGTAGGCTTAGTGATAAGACATGAAAAAAAAAAAAGAGGGATCAGCAAAATATTTGAAAACAGCATTATTGTTCAAATAGTCTGAAGTCTTGAAAAAAATTTCCCAAATAAAAAAGAATTGTACGTCAACAGGAAGACTCCAGTTTGTTTAAACTGAAAGGCTGTTGCAAACACAGTCAAGCTACTGGCCCTGGCATGGCTGACTTAGAAAGTAGGGTTTATTTAGGGAGAGAGCGTGAGCGGGGGCAGAGGGAGAGAATGTTTTCTTTAAATTAGATTTATTTTAGAGAGAGAGGGGAGGGGCGGGGGGGGGGGGAGAGAGAGAGAAAGAATCTCAAGCAGACATGGGGCTCGACCCCAGGACCCTGAGATCATGACCTGAGCCGAAACCAAGAGTCGGACGCTCAACCGGCTGAGCCATCCAAGGGTCCCAATAGCAGTTTTTACTGGCTCTGTGTGTTGGGCATCTCTAAGGATTCCCACCACTTAAGAGAAGTCAAGGTCTCCAGGCAAACACTTGGCACAAGGACAACGGGACTGTCTCCCTTTCTCATCCTGCAGGGCTGTTCCTTTCTCCACCCCAGGCTCTTGCAAAAGGAGAGCACATGCCAGGTGGCCAGGTGGACTGCCCTCGGCCCTGGACCAGGAAGGCAAAATCTGTGAGCAGCAAAGCACAGCAGAGCAAACACCCCACCCCTCAACAAGCAGCAGCGAGGCAAGCACGGGGTGCACCTCCCAAGAGAAAATATTGATGAAATCCAAGCAAACAGTGCAGGAAGGCATGTGACCGGCGTCCTCCTTCTCGGCCCACAAGTGCCAGTGCAGACACCTGGGTCACTGCCCCAGAAGGAACATGGCACTAGGGGATGACGGGGGGGAGGGGGCTTTGTGAGGGCCAGAGAGTGGGCACAGAGCCCAGACAGATTAGCTCATGGCTTGGGTCCTGCATCTGGGAAGGAACACATGCACCGAAACCTTTTTATTTTTTAAAGATTTTATTTATTTATTTGAGAGAGAGAGAGAGTATGGGGGGGGAGGGTCAGAGGGAGAAGCAGACTTCCCGCCGAGCAGGGAGCCCAATGTGGGACTCGATCCCGGGACTCCAGCATCATGACCTGAGCCGAAGGCAGTCGCTTAACCAACTGAGCCACCCAGGCGCCCCCGAAACCTTTTTAAATAAGATCATTCACAAGCTCACCACCAGCAACATTCAGCAGTAACACTGTACCTTTCACTCTTGCTGAAGGCACCGCCTGCCCTCTCCATGGGGTGGTTCGGGGACAGAACGTGGCGCACCTGAAGGGCCGCATTCAGAGGCTGAGGCCCTGCTGTCTAGGACCAGCAGACACACAACAGCTGAAGTGTGCAAGGAGCAAGCACTTGAGAAAACGGTGATCTATGATGTCGCGTCAGGGGTTCTCTCTCTGTTAATGTATTTAGAGTTCGCCAAACCACAAGGTGGAGGGCACGTCCCCAACTCTGACACCAACTTCCACGGGTTCCCAAAACCACGAAGGACTCTCAGAGCTCAGTGAAAGCTGTTACACTTGTGATTATGGTTTATTAGAGAGAAATACAGAGAGACATTTGAGCCAGTCCAGAAAGGGACGCGCGGGGCAGAGTCCAGGAAAAGTACCAAAGGTGGGGCTTTCACGTCCCCTCCCAGCATCCACATGTGACAACATGCATGGCGCTCTGCCAACCAGGGGGCAGGGTGGGGGGCTGGGGCCTTGGTGTCCACCTCGGAGCCCTGGTTGGCCGCCTGGCTGCCCATGAGCTGGATCTGCCTTGAGGTAGACGGACACCACACTCAAGCCCCCAGCTGAAGTCACCTGTTCCCCTCTCTAGTGGTGTGGGCCCCCATCCTGAGATGACCGCATGTGGCCAGCCCCCACCCCAAACAATGATGCTCCTGTCAGGAACAGTACAGGCCTTCCCTCTGTGCCAGCCAAGTTCTTGACTACACAAACATTAATCTGTTCAACATCAAAAACAAACCTATCCAGAACTAGATTTCAGATTTTGGACTCACATGCCATCCTGGGTGCCCAGCATCTTCACTGGACTAAAACCCCATAGGTGCATCCACCAGAGGCTGGGCCATGTCGCACAACAGGCCTTCCAGCAAGGTGGCCTAAGGGAAGCGTTGCTTGCCTTCACCCCCGCTTTGGATGACAAGTCAGCACATGAGAAGAAAAAGCCCAACCCGACCACTGGACAGCACAAGTCAGGGATGCGCCAGCCCCCGACAATGCTCTGGGCGCGGAGCCAGGACCACCTGTCTGGAAAGGACAGACTTCTGAAGGCCACCTCAGCAAGTCTGCTTCCAGAAATCAACCCTAAATTGGACACAAGGAACGGGGACACAAGACATGCAGTGTTTTATTTACAGGGGTGAAAAGTCAGAAACTAGCAATGTTACCAAAATGAGAGAAATGAGTAAGTAAATTACAAAACAACCACATGAAATTACTAGAAGCTAGCAGACTGTAGCTTATGAATATTTCAACAATATGGGAAAATGTGTACTTCATAACACTATGTAAGGAAGCAAGACAAATACCATATAGTCATCACCACACAGGCCATGCAGGAAGGGAGACAGAAGAGAAAGCCTCGAGATACGACTGTGGGGAGGCTCTTCCTGTCTCGTGCACAGTCATACCTGCGGCACGGCGTGTACCCCACCGGAGCAACAGGGAGCAAGCCAAACCCCCAGTCCTTCGCCTCCCCACCCCGAGCCCCTGGTGCTCACGCTGGGGGAGCAGGCAGCTGGTGGGACTCTTGGATGAGTCTGACCAAGGTCTGTTTCCAAACCCGGACCAAGTGCATCACTGACATGAGCCAGTACGTCCTGACTCAAGATGAGGTGGCTCAAGCTGGTTCCTCTGGGTCTGATCCCTTGGGTAAAGGAACGATGCATTCCCAGCAGCACTGAGCTTGGTGGATGGGCGGCCAAGCCACTGGGACAGAGACCAATCCTTGTCAGACTAGGGTCAATGCGTATTTAGGTATTTAAAAAAATCTGCAGCTTCTGACAACCACCAGCAGATGAGTGCAAAAGTAGGCTCCCACTACCATCACCTGGATCCCATTGATCTCTTTTCACTAAGCTCATTGTGAAACCAGAGGCAAAGCTGTCTGCAGACGGATCTCAGACCGACCTAGGGATCTTTCAAACCGACCCATCCACCCATGAATCCAAGAAGCATCTTCTCCACGCAGAAGACGGGTGTGCATACTTGGGATGGCAGAATGGGGCTGAGTCAACTTCCTTCACTTGTCATGTCACTGAGAATTAAATCACTTCAGAAACTTTTCGTTTCTGTTTTCCTTTCCGTATCAGAGCATAGTAAAGAATGTCAAAACCCAAGACCACATTTCATTACAGAGTTCCTTCAAACCCCCAAAGAGTTGCATTCATAATCAAGGTGGTTCTTTTAAAATTTAAATCCACAATGTTAATCAAGGACTAACTTTTGTGAGAAAAGCATAAAAGCTGTAGTTTAGGAACAGATCACTGAACTGGGAGATGAGAAAAGCCAGCCTCTAGTCCCAGCCGTGCTGTGTCTGGGAAACTTCTAGCATCGGTTTCCCTGCTCCGGGTCACGGAGCCTGACCTTACGTGCGAAACAGGGACTAAAATAAGATGGGCCACACTTCAGAAGGGGACACAGCAGCCAGCAGGTACATCCCTGAAGAATGCACGGCCCTCCCTCCAGCCCTGCGTCTCTGCTGACATCAGCCACTGCCTGTCCCCCAACACCTGGGCCCCCGTACAACTGTCCGATTCTTGCCAGAAATGATGCTCCAGGGTTTGCATACCCAGGTCATCACCAGCAAACTCCAGCCCCCAGCCTCGCATACGGTGACTGCACTTCAGTATACACACCCCGATTTTTAGGAGACCT